TTCTGAACATGGACTGCTTCTGTATCTGAGGAGTTGCAACTGGTGTTGAACATTGTGCAGTCATTAGCAAACATCCCCACTTCTGACCTTATGATGGAAGGAAGGTCATTGATGAAGCAGCGGAAGATGGTTGGGTCTAGGAACCCTGAGGTACTCCTGCAGAGATGTCTTGGAGCTGCAATGAGTGACCTCCAACAACCTCGACCATCTTCCCAGGTGCCTGATACAACTCCAACCAATGGAGAGTTTGCCCCCTGATACCCATGGATACCATTTTGCGAGGGCTCCTTGATGCCACACTTGGTTGATTGCAGCCTTGATGTCAAGGACTGTCACTCGTACCTTGGAGATTCAGCTCTTTTGTCCATGTTTGAACCAAGGCTGTAATGAGGTCAGGAACTGAGTGGCCCTGGTGGAACCTAAACTGGGCATCACTGAGCAGGTTATTGCTGAGCAGGTGCTGCTTGATAGCACTGTTGATGACACCTACCGTCACTTTATTGATGATCGAGAGTCAATTGATGGGTGATAATTGACTGGGTTTGATTTGTCCTGCTTTTTTTTAAATGAACAGGACATACTTGGGCAATTTTCCACATTGTTGGGAAGATGCCAGTGTTGTAGCTGTACTGGAAGAGCTTGGCTGAGGGAGTGGCAAGTTCTGGAGCACAAGTCTTTAGTACTATTGCTGGAATGTTGTCCGAGCCCATAGCCTTTGTAGTATCCAGTGTCTCCAACTGTTTCTTGATATCACATGGAGTGAACCGAATTGACTGAAGACATAGACTCATCTATAGTGCTGGGGACCACTGGAGAAGGTTGAGATGGATCACCAACTCGGCACTTCTGGCTAAAGATTCCTGCAAAGGCTTGATATGCTGGGCTCTTCCATCATTCAGGACAGGTATATTTGCAGAGCCTCCTCCTCCAGTGAGTTGTTTAATTGTCTACCACCATTCACAACTAGATGTGGCAGACTGCAGAGCTTAGATCTGATCTGTTGGTTGTGAGATCACTTAGCTCCATCTATCACTTGTAACTTATGTTGTTCAGTGTGCAAGTAGTCTTGTTTGGGTAACTTCACCAGGTTGATACCTCATTTTCAGGTATCCCTGGTGCTCCTGGCAATGCTGTCCTGCACTGTCCATTGAACCAGGGTTGATCGCCTGGCTTGACAGTAATGGTTGAGTGGAGGATTTGCCAGGCCACGAGGTTGCAGATTGTGCTAGAGTACAATTATGCTGTAGTTGATGGCCCACAGCATCTCATGGATGTCCAGTCTTGAGTTGCTAGATCTATTCAAAATCTGTCCCATTTACAATGGTTATAGTGCCACATAACATGACGGAGGTAATTTTCAATATGAAGGCAGGACTTTTCTCCACAAGGACTGTACGGTGGTCATACTTAGCAATACTGTCATGGATAGACGCATCTGCAGCTGGCAGATTGGTAAGGATGAAGTCAAGTATGTTTTTCCTTCTTGTTTGTTCCCTCACCACCTGCCACAGACCCAGTCTAGCATCTATGTCTTTAGGACAGAACCAGCTCAATCAGTAGTACTGCTGCCGAGCCACTCTTGGTGGTGGACATTGAAATCCCCCACCCAGAGTACATTTTGTTCCCTTGCCATTCTAAGTGCTTGTTTCCTAGCCTTGGTCAACATAGAAGAGCACCAATTGATCAGCAGATGGTACTTGGTAATCAGCAGGAGGTTTCCTTGCCCATGTTTAACCTGAAGCCATGAGACTTCATGGGGTCTGGAGTAAATGAAAAGAACTCCCAGGGCAATTCCCTCTGGACTGTATATCACTGTGCCTCCACCTTTGCTGGGTCTTGTCCTGCCAGTCGGACAGGACATAGCGAGAGATAGTGATAGTGGTGTCTGGGACATTATCAGGTATGATTCCGTGAGTATCAGCCTGTTTCTCTCCCAATTTTGGCACTATGCCCCAGATGTTAATAAAGAAGCCTCAGCAATGTCAACAGGGCTGTTTCTCCCATTGTCTTTTCTGGTGATCCGTCCAGTTTCATTTCCTTGAGACTTTGTAGTGATTGATATATGGCTTGCTAGGCCATTTCAGAGGACATCTGAGAGTCAACCACATTGCTGTGGGTCTGGAGTCACATGGAGCCCAGACCAGGTGAGAATGGTAGATTTCCTTTTCTGAAGGACATTAGAGATTATGGAAAAGAAGGAAAGGCAGGTATAGTCAGCAAGTAAAATTTCACCCCAGGGCAGAGGTGAACAGTGCAGAAGAGCTCGCCTGAAGGAACAGTGTGAGTAATGAGTACCCACACAGCGTTTTGAGTTAGGGGTGCAGACTCAAAAAAAAGCCTCAGGAATACCTTGTTTTACATGGGAAGAAGGTAGTGCTAAAATTTCTGTGGTACATTATGCAGGCCCTTTCCTTTTCCAAACTATAATTTAAAGAATGGCAGGAAATTTTGGTGCTGCAGGACTATATTATGAAAATACAGAGAGCTGGTATACACAGAGAGATTCCAATTTTTTTTTGTTCAAGCTAACAAAATTAAAGCTGGTATAGTCATCCCTGCATTCCTGAGTATTACGACGATAAGAACTTTAAACCTCCTGGTTAAGCTAGAGAAGCCAGGTTCTAAAACTTAAGAAGAAAAGTAGGAATCCCACAGAACCATTTTTCATGAAAACCATTGGTGATTGCTGAGAGGTTCAAGTTCCATGAACACAACTAGCATGACGGTGAATCTATTTCCCAGTACGTAGCAATTTTAAAGATGTTAGCAGAACACTGTGATTATGCTATTATGATTATTAATTATGTTATTAGAGGCACAATGGTTTTTGTGAAGCAATCCAGAAAATATTACTGATGGAAAGGAACCTAAACTTAAAGAAAGCACTTGAAATAGCAGTCTCAGTGGAACTAGTAGCCACAGAACCTCAATAGCTATGCTCAAATGTGAGAGTTCACAAAAATAGTGGCTGAACCAACGCAAACTCAAAATAGCCATTGCTGTAGAAAAACAGATCACACAGCTGCAAATTGGTCATATAAAGAAGTTGTATGCAAAAATTGTAGCATAAAGGGCACACTGAATGAACATATTTGAGGTAAAAGCACAAAAAATGTACGGCAAAGTTACAGAAACCAAAGAGTAGAAGGAAAATCTACGTAATACAAAAAAGGCATGAGAAAAGTCCTGACTACGGTCCAAAGAGGAGCTGTTATTAAACGTACTGACCATTGCTGACAAAACCAACCAATACTGAATTACAAGAATGGGGGTAGAGCAATGGTTTCATTGATATCTGAAAGTGTACGTCAGAAGCAGCTGAGTCACACTGTGTTCCAATCCTCAAAAATTGCAGTAGGTATGTACACAGGCTAAGTGGTGCCTTTTAGGGGTTCTATCAATGTGAATGTTCAGTTATACAGTCAAGTCTGAAGATTTGTTCTTACACGTTTATAAAGGAATCTTCAAGCTTTATTGGGAAAAATGTGGTTGGAGAAAATCAAACTCAAATGGGATGAAGTAAATGGCTTGTCCTATTTCGATACTGATTTATCTACCACAAATTCTACATAAACATGCCATTGCTTTCAAGGGGGATCTGGGAAGCATGGAAAAGATCTCTGTCAAATTGAAAATCAAGGATGAGAATCAAAGTAAAAGCTGCAAGGCTAGATCAGTGTCTTACGCAATCAAACCAAAGACTGAGGCAAAATTAGAGAGGCTAGTCAAGACCAGAGTCCTTGAACCTGTAAATATGAGTGATTGAGCCACATCTACCATATCAGTGATGAAGAAAAATGGATCGGTACACATCTGTGGAGATTTTAAGGTTACATTAATTGAGCACTCTGAGCAGTGTCCTTTGTCTTTAAACGATGACCTATCTACTGGCCTAGCTGGAGGTCACCTTTCAGTAAAATTGACCTTGGTGAAGCTTCTCTTTAGATGAATGTTAATCCTGAGTCACAGAAATACATGACGATTATAACATAGGAAGGGCTACTCAAATACAAGAGAATCACATCTGCATCTGCATCTGCATCTGCATTGTTCCAAGGTGCCATGGATCGGATTTTAAGTAGATTAGAAGGAGTCCAGCGTTACCTAGACAATAATTGCACGGAGAAATGAATAAGAGCACCTCCATAATTTAGATACTACTCTGCAGAGACTTGAAGAAAATGGCCTAAGAGTGAAAAAAGACAAATGGGATTTTTAAAAATCTTCCATTGAATATTTAGTATTATTTATGCTAAGGACTACCCAAGTCATCGTCAAATGTAAAAGCCATAACTGAGGGACCAGCAGCAGCGCCAGCATCCAGCCACCAGCCACCAGAAAAACATCAAAATGGAAAAACGTGACTTTAAGAAGCCAGAGGCAAGATGTCGTCTTATACTTATTTTGTGGAGACTTGCTGTGAAGGACACAAGAAAGAAAACCCCTGATACTCCTGTTGACTTCTCAGAATTGTCTAAAAAAGTGCTATGCAAGATGCAAGACAATGTCTACCAAAGAGAAGACAAATTTGAAGAACTGACTAAAGTAGATAACTCATGCGGTTACTGAGAAATAGAGAAGATTGCCAGTTAAAGGTAGCAAGAAGAAGGATCTCAAAGCACCAAAACAGTTTTCCTCTGGGTTCTTCCTGTATTTTTCTGAGGAGCATCATCCAAGAATCAAAGCCAAGAGTTTTGGCATTTCTATTGGTGATGTAGCAAAGAAGCTTGGTGATGGAATAAATGCAGTGAAGAAGAGAAGAAGCTGATCATTAGCAAAGCTTATAAGCTGAAAGAGAAATCTGATAAAGATATTGCTGATTACCATACCAAAGGCAAGTTGGATAGTGTAAAGAAGCCCCTTGCCAAGAAGGAGGCATATTGTAACGATGATGATGATGATTAAATTGTACATTTGCCTCAGCTTAATTACTTGCTCTATAACTGAAAGCATTCAAACCCTGTTAAAGTGTTGCAACCTTTTAATTTTGTAAGTTGGTGCGTATATAATCTAATGCAAAAAGTAACTTGAGTTTAAAGTACACAAGCCTCTTCGTAATATTCACTACAGCAAGCATTTTAAACCTCTCACATTTGTAGGCACATCACTCCATGTCTGTCCCATGTACTAGAATGGTCATGCAATACGTTTTTGGCTTCATCAGAATAAACATGATATGGTTTAGAGGGAAGTGATCAGTTACTCTAGACATGTTGGATTGAAAAAAAAGATAACCATCATTCAACGCTGGCCTCCTGAGCCTCTACATATCATGCTACTGCACTCCAAGCAATATTGGCAAGCAGAAGGCGAATCCAAAGGGCTGCAAAATGGTAAATGATTCTTTCCATTTCTGTGAACTGTTGTATATATGATTGTAAATGTTTTCATTGCAGTAACCTATGATTTGAAGGGGGGGGGATATTGTGTATTTATGGATGTTGGACTGTCATTTTAAGAGCCCATCATGTAACATGATGATGTCATGATCAGTCGTTTTGGAGAGAAACAGTTTAGTCTAGCTCACTACCTTGTACAGTGAATGCTATATTTTAAAGCTCTTGCTGTTTTAAATGCTTCAGCCCCCAAGTCCTCCTTGAAACTTAAGAACCTTATTGCTCATCTTTTCTAAGAACATCTCATAGATTAATAGGCACAATAATTCATCTTTTAAGCTCAGAATTCTCTACATGAAGATCTGTGCCTGAAAGTGTTATGTAACTGAGACAATATATTTTTGAAAACTATGGAAAATTAGCTATGTTGTGACCTCGTGAATTTGGGATTGAGAGAAAAACTATTACCAAAAAAACTGCAGTCTCAGCATTTATTTTAAAGCTATTTTCTCATACCATTTTCTAGCTCTGTGACTCTATGTCATTTTCCAAACTACACTTTCTTAGAACTGTATTATTAAATCTGCAACTTCCTTATATTTAAAAAAATTGACAAAACGATAAACGTAGCAACCACAAGCCAGTGAATTTAACTTTTAGGTGTTGGGAAATTCTTTAGAAATAATACCGAAGACAAAACTGCAGTCACTTGGACAATTGCAGGTAAATGAAGGAAAACCAGCGGGAATTAAAGGCAAATTGAATTCAATTAACTGGATTTGAGTTATATGATGTGGTAACAGAGGGAGAGAGTAAATGACGGTAATGCATTGATGGGTGTATATGGAATTACAAAGGGCATTTGTTAAAATGCCACATCATAGGCTTGCCAGAGAACTTGCAACAAATTAAATGATAATAAGGATCCTGGTTGCATGAGTATGAAGTTAAATGAGTGATGGTAAACAAAATATTGGTGAATAGGTTTTGTTTTGAACTGGACGAAAGGGTATAGTGGAGTTTCCTAGATATCAGTACTTGGATCTTTGCTTCTCTTGATCTATATTAATGACATAGATCTGGGTGTATAGATTACAGTTTCCATATTTGCATAGACTTCAAACGCATGTAGACAAAGTGGCAGAAGATGAAATTTAATGCAGAGGAATGTGAAGTGGTTTATTTTAGCCGTAAGAATGAGTATAGACAATTTAAACTGAAGAGTGTAATTCTAGAAGGGGTACAAGCATATATATCCAAAAATTGTTGAAGGTAGTAAACAGGTTGAAAAAGTACTTAATAAGACATTTGGGATCCTGGCCTTATAAACGGAGACATAGTGTACAAAGGCAAGGAATTTATGCTGAACTTTATAAAACACTGAATTGGCCTTACCCAGCATATTATGTCCAATACTGGGCATCATACTTAAGGAAGGATGTGAAAGCGTCAGAGGCTGTAGAAAAAGTGAGAATGTTTCCAAGGATGAAACTCTTCGGTTGTATGGATAAATTGGAGAAGCTGGTTTGTACCTAAAAAATAACAAATTAAGAGGACATTGATAGAACTGTTCAAAATCATGGGGGATCTGGACAGAATAGATGGGAAGAATATGTTCGTGTTGGCAGAAAGGTAGAGTATTCGGGAATATTGATTTCATGTGATTGACAATACAGAACGTGACATGTTTTGGATCTGGAAAGCACTGCTGAACAGCATTATGGAGGAAGATTCAAAAGGAAATTGAACAAGCACTGCACAAAGCCATGCGGAAAGAGAGGAGGATTGACGTCAGGTGAGTTGCTTCTGCAGCGTTGTTACAGCCGCGATGGACCAAATAGACCCCTTTTTTTTAAATTCAATGAGTTTGCAGGCGATTTCAGTGTCCCTCTGGCTGCTTGTTATTCGGTTGTGTAAAGGGCTTTTTATGGTTTTCTAATCTAGACGCTTTGCTGGCCTGCCCTGTGCTGCCGGCGCCAGAGGCTCCGGATGGCCTATATTATTCTATCAATTACCTGCTCCCAGGCCACAATGTCACAGGCTGGAGGGGTGCAGTTTGTAAGGAGCTGGAGGCTATCAGAGCCACAGGGAAGCGCGTTCGCTGCCTGCCCCTGGATACAGCTAACGAGGGCTTGTCTTGTGCACCATTCAGCGTTAAGTAAGCATGGAGAATTACTACAATCCCAAATGGCTCGGAGCCAACTAAGTCTCTTGTTCGACAAGGCCTTTTTTTTCTCTTGCCTTTCCCCTTTTAACTGATGAGGGTTGAGATTTATCGGCTGATTTGTTTTTCGTTCCATTAGGAGAGAGTAAGCATTAGGTTGAGTCAAGCACTAATCGGAAAGAGTGTTATTAAAACACGTTTCATTTCAATAATGGGAAAGCATCCTTTCTTAACGCTTCCTGAATAGTTGAACTGGCAATTTTGAGCCCGGGAATTAGATGACCACAATCTCCCAGTTTCTTGTCTATCTCGAAAATATTCGTGACACATACACGCAATGTGATCATCAACATTTAGACCCTATAGTCAGCAATGTTGCGCTTCAGAACATTCTATGTTGTATTTGTAACAAAATACACGTTTATTTATTTCCCAAATAGGGTCTCAATTAATCCATCTGGATTTTGTCCGGTTGAACAGCTGGTCCCAGTGCGATGCCTGAGAGAAGGGAAATTCCTCCAGCAAGTCTCCAAAGACTGAATTCCCGAATTTTCTGTATTTCGACAATTTCCTCCCCAGTTTTGACCTTTTCCGCGGGAATTTTCTGGTCAATGTCTCGACCCCACCGTTTTCATTGACCAGAGATACAATGTGAACTGTATATACACGTGTACCTAACTTGTATTAAAATGTTTATTTGGCGTACATTTCAAAAGTAATCTTTTGCTGTTAATTTTCATTTATTTTAGAACTGGTTGTCTATATTTCGTTATGCAAACTCCCCCACACCCATAGTATTACACATTGAGGCATTCGGTGGCGCTCTGCTCGCAGGATGAAACACTGTCTAAACTTCTCCATCTCCGCCTTTTTGTCAAGAACTGACCTTTGTACTGTTCAAAAATAATGTTTAATCGAGATTTGAATGAAAACAAATCCAAAACAGTGTATATCTGAAAGTGAGGTGTCAATCTGGTGAAGCCACAAGACAGCACAACTGTGTAAGGCAAACAGCGGAAGCAGCATGCAATAGATCAGACTAACCACTACCACAACCAATGGGTCAGGTCTGAACTCTGCAATCGTGTCACATCCAAATTCAGTGGTGCTGGAGAATTAAACATCTAACAGTAAGTGGAAGCTCCATAAATATCACCTTCCTCAAACGTGGGAGAGTTCAGTACAAAAGGCAAGGTTGAACAGCTAGGAGTGCCAAATGGCTGATCCACCTTGCTCTCCTCCCCAGATCACCAGCATCACAGGTGCCACTCTGCAACCAACTTGGTTCACTCCATGTAATTTCGAGAAATGGCTGAAGGCACTGGATACAGCAAAGGTTATGGGTGCAATAGTACTGCAGACCTGTGCTCCAGAACTAACTGTGCTCCTAGCCCAAACTATCTCAGAATTGCTGCAACACTGGCGTTTACACAGACATGTAGAAAGTTGCCCAGGTATTTCACTCCATGAAAAGCATGACAAATCCAACCCAGCCAATTAATGCCCTGTCAGTCTATTCTCAATCATCATCAAGGTTGTCAACAGCACTATCAAGCACTGCTTTTGTGGCAATAATAGGCTCACTAATGATCATTTTGAGTTCCACAAGAGCCTTCACCTCCTGACCTCTCATCATGACCTTGGTCCAATCATGAAGAGTTGAGTTGAACACCGTAGACAAGGTAAGAGTGAGTGTACTTAACGTCAAGGCAGCATTGACGGAGTATGGCATCAAGGAGCCCTAGCAAAACTAGAGTCAATGGAAATCAGGAAAAATTCTCCACCATTTGGAGTCAAGCCTAACACACAGGAAGATGGTAGAGATTGTTAGAGGCCAATCACTTTAATCTCAGGCCATCACTGCTGGACATCAGGATATTGTCCTGCGTGAATTATCTTCAGTTGCTTCATCAATGACTTTTTCTCCCTCATAATGTCAGAAGTGGGATGCTCACTGCTGGCACGGTGTTCAGCAACATTTGTGGTTCGACAGATCCTGAAGCAGCCCATGTCCATATGCAGAAAGATCTGCTCAACATCCAGGCTTGCACTGATAAGCAGCAAATAACATTCCTTCACAATGTCAGCCAAGGATCATTTTCAACATGAGATATTCTGAACATCTTTCCTTAACATTCAATGACATGAGCATAACTGAATCCTCCACAATCAACATCCTAAGGATTGTCATTGACCAGAAACTGAACTGACAAAGGACTGAGTGTCCAAGAATAGGTCAGAGATTAGGAATTCTGTGGTAAGTCATCTCCCACTTCCCAAAGCCTGTTTATCATCCACAAGGTGAAAGTTGGAGTGTGAAGGAATATTTTTCATTTTCTGTTTGGGTTTTGTTGCAACTGCAGTTCTAACAACATCCAAGAAACTCAATACTGTCCAGAACAAACCAACCCACTTGACTGGCACCCCATTCACCACCCTTCAGCATTGATGTACAGTGGCAGCCATATGTAATATTTCAGTGATGCACTACAGTAACTCACTAAGGCTGTTTCAACAGCATCTTTCAAACACACCTCCTAGAAGTTCATGAGCATCAGATGCGTGAGAACATCACACTTGCAAGTTCCCCTCAAAGCCACACACCATCCTGACCCAGAACTATATTACTGTCCCTTCACGGTCACAGTCAAAATCTTGGCACCCTCTGCTTAACAGCAGTGTAGATGTATTTATACCTCTAGGACTTAAGTGGTCAAGAAGGCAGATTAATACCACCTTCTTGGGGGCAATAAGGGTTGAAAGATAAATGCTGCCCTAGCCAGCAATGCTGACATCTCATGAACGAATAAAAAATTAACAGTGATATGATCAAATGTAGCTATTGTATTCTTTTGTGTTTTTATCCACCCCAGTCCAACACCGGTGCCTCTACATCATGGCAACCATCGACACCAGCAACTACCGCTCAAACTGGAGAGGATCTCCAAGAAGATCGCATATATCAACACAGACATCAAGTCTACAGGGAAATGCAAGAATGCACAAAAGATCCAAAAAGGACAACAGATCACAAACCCACTCAAGTTGACATATACATATTAATCAGTTAAAACCTTGTAACTGATTAAAGATTTAACAGCATCTTAGGTCTGTTTAATACATCCCCATCAGTGGTGTGACTCTTTGATCTTTTACTTGTGTCTGATACCACCTCACTAACACCTGAAGAAGGAGCGAGGCTCCAAAAGCTTGTGTTTTCAAATAAACCTGTTGGACTATAACCTGGTGTTGTGTGATTTCTAAATGTCCTATTTATCATAGAATCATGAAATGCTTAAAATACAGAGACCACTTGGTCTGTTGAACCACTACAAGAGCAACTCAGCTAGTCCCACTTCCTTACCTTTCTCCCGGACGTCCTTTTGAAAGCCGCAAATGAATCTGCTTTCACCGTACTTTCAGGTAATGCATTCCAGATCCTCAATACTTGTCATGAAAATATTTTGCCTCATGTCACCTTTGGTTCATTTGCAAATCATAACTTTTCTGTGCACTAAGTTGCATCTGCTACATAACTATCCATATCCACTGTGTTTGCTTGATGTGTACCACTACTCTTTTCACAATTCACAATGCTTGAGTTTTATGATATCTGCAGATTTGAAATTTTGCCCTGCACACTTAAGTCTTGGTTATTAGTATAGATCAAGGAAAGTAATAATCCTAACATCAACTTCGAGGAAACTCTTGAGCATCAAGCTGGGAATAATGCAGAGATTTGTACCTTTGGGGTCCTGCTTCCTCATTTCTTTCTGAACTCCCTAAACTCTGCCTAAGGAACATCATCCCTTCTTCGTTCTATGTTGTTGGCAGTGATATGGATGTGACCTCTTTTTGTACACCCTCCATCAGAATGCTCTGTTGCTGCCTAGACATCTTGGACTCTGGTACCATGGAAGTAACATTTCATCCTGGATTCACCTCTGCAGCTGCAGGATTGCCAGCCTATTTCCCTATCAAATCTTCTATTGCTATTGCTATTGCCTTTATAATCTTCCTCCTCCACCCCAATCCCCTGTCCCATTTGGCTGGGGCAGCCATGGTGCCATGGACCAGGCTCTGGCTGTACTGCCTGGAGGAACAAGTATTCTCATCAGTCATCGCTAATCAGAACTGAATACTGGTTGCAGATCAAGGTGCACTTCCTACCCCATTCTTCTTGATTGTCTAGGATTCTCGTATTTCTTCTCATCTTGCATTCCATTAAGATCCAGGGCAACCACATCTATACTCATGCTATCCAAAAAAAATCCATATTGTAGTTAACTAATTTTGGTTATGTTTAGAAAAAAACCTAAGCTCAAGTTGTTAGGGTTTGGAATGCCCTGCCTGAATATGCATTGGAGACAGATTTAATCATGGTTTTCAAAAGGGAAATGGATAATTATGTGAAGAGAGAGGATTTGTTACAGTAAGGAGAAAGGCAGGGGAGTGGGAATGGTTGAGTTTTGCTGCTACATGGCTGGCACAGACAGGATGGTTTCTTCAGTACTCATAACCACCTAGATGTGCCGCAATGAGGTCAGCTGCTGAAACTGGAGCTCAAGCTATGCAACTGAAGAAAAGCACCCGAGAGTGCACAAATGGAATAGAATGTGTACACCACCCAAGTTGCCTTGCTATGTTTTTATTAAAGTTACTACATTGGAAAAAACCCCACATCTACTCATGAATCAGCTACTTCCTCTGTCAAAATTAATTTTATTAATGAGAAGTTCTCTGAAATATTTTTACTGAAAACCCCATCTCCTGTTGCCTTCACACTCACCTACAACAAATGTGAAGAATAATTGCAGTTAGTTCTATCCTTTTGCATGAGTCGTCAGGGTCACCCAGTTCTTGACCTTATTACAACCTTAGTCTTGGTGTAAAAATGGACGAAAGAACTACACCCAGAGGTGAAGTGAGAGTGACCAAGGATCCCTAGCAAAACCAGAGTCAATGGAAATCAAGAAAAAACTCTTCACTGGTTGGATTCATACCAAGCACAAAGGAAGATAGTGATAGTTATTCATCAATCATCTCATTTGCAGGAAATCATCACAAAGATTCCTCAGGATAGTGTCTTTCACCCAACCAGCTTCAGCTGCTTTATCAAAGATCTTCACTTTATCATGTGATCAGAAATGAGGATGTTCCCTGAAATAGTAGGAACTGCAGATGCTGGAGAATCTGAGATAACAAGGTGTAGAGCTGGATGAACACAGCAGGCCAAGCAGCATCAGAGGAGCAGGAAAGCTGACGTTTCAGGCCTAGACCCTTCTTCACACCATTTGCAACTACTCAGCTACTGAGGTAATCTGTGTCCATATGTGTAAGACCTGGACAACATTCAGACTAGGACACATAGTTGGCAAGTAACCTCCTCATTGTACAAGCTCCAAGAAAAGGGCCATTTCCAACAGGAGAAGATCTAACCATTACTCCTTGACATTCATTGACTTTACCATTTCTGAATCTCCCACTATCAAAATCTTAGGGTTACCATTGCCAAGAAACTGAACTGGACCAGCCATATAGAAACTGTGGCTAGTAGAACTGGGGCTACTAGGTCAGAGGTTGGTGACTAACCCACTCCTGACTCCCCAAAACCTGTCTACCACCTACAAGACACAAGTCAGAAGTATTGCAAGGTTAAAAACTAGAATCTCCTCTGTAGCAACTGAGGGCATTGTTAGTTAAATATTGTCACCT